CAGAGATTACCCAAGTTCTCATGATACAAGAGTTTATGCACCACCACCAAGAGATTATACTTACTGTGATTATGGTCATTCCAGTTCATGTGATGACTATCCATCAAGAGGCAATAGTGATACAGATGGCTATGATTGTGATTGTGTCTATTCAGATCATCCAAGTGGAGGTTCCTACAGGGATTCATGTGACAGTTATGGTAACTCATGTAGTGCTCAACCTACCTGACAGCCCTCGCCATCTTATGGTGGAAGCAGTTGCTATGATGGTTACAGCAACTCACATGAGAGGTATGGTGGAAGTTGAGACAGTTACTCATGCAGCTGAAGTGATCTCTACTCAAGTGGTCGTGATCGGGTTGGCAGTCAAGAAAGAGGGCTTCCCCCTTCTGTGGTTCCTACATGTGATTCCTACAGCATTTCAAGCCACAGAGCACCAAGTGGTTGGGTGGCCATGGAAGAAGCCAATTTTATAGAGGGGGGAAGCAGAAGCAGATATTAAAAACAAAACTTTTGACCAAAATCCCTGTTAAAAGAAAGAAACAAAAAGGAACCTATTCTGTCATAACTACCCAAAGACTACTAACAGGTAATTGTTACCTTTTTAAATATTTCTGTTAAGTTCCCCTTTCATAATTTTTATGTTCTTGTGAGGAAAAGCATAAAACATGTTTAGTATTATTTGATTTTATGACATTGCTTTCAACAAGTAAATGTTACATGCGTTAAGGCTCGACTAGTGTATAGTGTTGTAATTTTCCAAGTAAAGTGTCCCTAAAGTCCACTTTCTGATTTTTCCCAGTAAATGAGGCAAGCTATTCTAAAATCTTCCACAAATATCCAGCCATTTAAAATGGAGAGATGAATCCCTCTGCCTATACAAACAAGCTAGCTATTAGAGGGTGGTTGGGAGTATACTATTCTTAGGGTATCACAGTCTTCAAACTGAAATCGCAGATGTTCTCAGTATGAAAAACCTGAGATTAGGTGCTTATGTAAGGAAAGTGCTATTCACCCAGTATACCCAAAACAAATGGATAGTGCTAGCCATATTTTGCCTTTCGGACATTTCCTTGGGAATCTACAAGAACCTCCACTTTTCCTCTCCCCCAGTGAGACCATTTAAGTGGGTGTTAAGCAATTACAGAATACTAAATAAAACGTTTGGCCAAAACCAACCATGAAGCTGCAAAAAAAGAAAAAAGAAAAGAAATTTAAAAAAAGGAAGAGAAAGAAAGGAAGAGAGGAAGGAAGGAAGGAAAAAGGAAGGAAAAAAGGAAGGAAGGAAGGAAGGAAGGAAGGAAGAAAGGAAGGAAGAAAGGAAGGAAGAAAAGAAGGAAGGAAGGAAGGAAGGAAGGAAGGAAGGAAGAAAGGAAGGAAGAAAAGAAGGAAGAAAGAAAGGAAGAAAGAAAGGAAGAAAAGAAGGAAGAAAAGAAGGAAGATGGAAAAGGTGTAATGAAAGAGTTGTAATGCTGTTGGGTTGTCGGAAAAGTCATGATGTATTTTTTCTGATTTTCGTTGCAAAAATGCGTCATGACTTTTCTGACAACCCAATATTTTAGGCCTTTCAAGGGCCTTATAAATAAACTCACATCCACTTCATACTAATGTTGTTTCTTTGATGTTTGGTCAGGCGAATTGTGTTTTCCTCTCTGTCAAATGGGGGGGGGGTAAGGTGTCATCTGCCTTTATAAGATTTGTATACAAGGTGTGATCAAAAGATAAAGTGAATGTTTAAGTAGAAAATTTTATTACAGTAAAAGACACATTGCCATTAATCCCCCCTCAAAATACTCCCCTTTGTATCAAACACACTTATCCCATCGTTCTTGCCACTTTCTGAAGCAGTTCTGGAAATCCTTTTTCCTGAGTGTCCTTAGTTGAGCTGTCATGGCTGCCTCAATGTCCTGAATTCATTCAAAACATTTACTTTTCGTGGCCATTTTGACTTTGGGGAAGAGCCAGAAGTCACATGGTGCCAGATCCGGTGAATAAGGTGGATGAGAACACACTGTAATGTTTTTATTTGACAGAAATTGTCATACCAGAAGCGATGTGTGACACAGAGTCTTTCCATTGTGATCACAAAATATGGTAAATGCTGCTGCCAAGTGCCATCCAATGGAAAGGCAGGGATCTTCAATATGGAAAGCAGCATGTCGCACCTTAGTAACAGTCTGTGACAAGTTTCAGCTTGTTTAGTGCAGTCAGTCGGGTGTGAGCTACAGTTGAGAGAAGGTGTGTTTTAAAGTGTGCCACAAATCATCCTCCATCATGACAATGCTCTGTGTCATACATCACTTCTGGTATATGGCAATTTCTATCAAATAAATACATTACAGTGTGGAGTCAAGGGAATTGTAATAGATATGTATGATATTGGGGGGGGAGTGGGATGGCAGATTGGGGGAGGGGGGTTGTCACCTCGAGGAGTAAAAAGTATAACTATTGCACTGTGTTGTACAGCTGAAACTAATTCTAAAAAATGTGTATTTCACAATAAAAAATAATTTTAAAAAAGAGAAGGGGTTATATAACCTTGATAATATCAAAAATATGTGAAAAAAGAGCTTCTGGGGTTGTGAATTTTTAACATAATTGCAGTAATAACAATATATAGTACATTATGTTTATTATTGAAAAATAAAATTAATCCATGCTAAAAAAACAAACAAACAAAACGAAAAACATTACAGTGTGTCCTCATCCACCTTATTCACCAGATCTGACACCATGTGACTTCTGACTCTTCCTCAAAGTCAAAATGACTCAGGACATCGAGGCAGCCATGACAGTGCAACTAAAGACACTCATGAAAGAGGACTTCCAGAACTGCTTCAGAAAGTGTCAAGAATATGGGATAACAGAGTTTGAAGCGAGGGGAAGTATTTTGAGGGGGATTAGTGGCAATGTGTCTTTTACTGTAATACATTTTTAAACGCTCACTGTATTGTTTGAACACATCTCATATGGATTAAATGAGTCCAGTGTGTGCTAAGCACACTGCTATTCGCCAGTCTGTTTTAGTAATATTTTTCCCCTAGACCTTGTTTCAGTTTTATTTCTAACTTCTCAATCTTGGCGGACCACCTTTAACACTTCCTTCCTCTCCCACCCCCTAGGTTGGAGAAATGCGATTTGACGTCTGCTTGCTGCCAGCATCTTGCCTCCGTTCTCAGAAGCAGTAAAAGCCTGATGAATCTGAACCTTTTAGGGAATGACTTGGGGTCTGATGGAGTCAACAAGCTGTGGAAGTCTCTGAAAAAATCAAAGTGCAAACTACGGAAACTCGGGTAACCCCCACTGACTTTTACAGGGGGAAGCACCAGTTGAGATTTGGGGATGGATGGACTAATGTTTTAAAGCAAGCATCAAGTTTACCCTGAATTCCATTTCCTAGGACAGTGCTGGCCAACAATGCCTTTAGTAATAATGGAAATGGTCTCTATCTGCATTGCCCAATAGAGTAGCCACTAGCTGCAGGCAGTAACTGGGCTCTTGCAGCATGGTTAGTGCAACTGATGGACTGAAGTTTTCACTTTCTTTAGTTTGAATTAACTTAAATAGCCACATGCAGCTAACGACAACTACATTGGATGGCACAGTCCTATAGGCATTAGGGTATTTGAGGAGTTGCCTCATTTTCCCCATTCTCTAGTACCTACTCTATTTCACTCAGCAGACATTCACTCAACAATTTTTTCAGTGCTGACTGTGGGTCAAGCACGATGGCACGGTGGGCTTTGGAAACAAATGGACACGAGCCTTGTCCTCATGGGTCTATATTCTCCCCAGACCTATGAAAGCAGTGTTAGATGTCATGAATGCTATGAAGGAAACTCTGGGTTGTGGTACAGAAAACAAGGGTGGTCAGGGTGGTAAAGAAAGGCATGTCTGAGATGGTGTCATTGACCCTGAGGCCCAACAAGACTAGAAGGAGGAGTCCATGTATCAGGAGGGGAACATGGAAAGTGCCTAGAGATGAAGAGTGGAGTGTCCTAAGGAAGCAGCAGTAGCATGCACAAAGGTCCTGAGATTGGACCCAAAAGAGCATTTAATTAGAACACTCTATACCTCAGGCAGTATTCTGGAGATGATGTCAGAAAGATGTTAAACTAGGTACATTTTAGCAGAAATCATGTCAGATACCAAGGAACTGCACCTACTTGGAAGTTGGTCAGATTCTGTACATGAAAGCTTTTATGTTACCAACTTCACATCAAAGTAATGCATTTTTACAAGAGACCACCAGAGATGGACATATGTGCAATTCAGTATGTGGACAATTCAGATTGTAGAGGGGATTTCTGGCCAGGTACCCAGACTCACCTCTTCTCAAAGAAGAGAATATGAGGACTTTATTTTCAAAAGTCTGCTAAGCATAGACTAATAATACAAATGAGAGGAATCAGATTCATGCACACAGATGGCAGTGACCCACGTTACCCTGTTCTATGTCTATTTTGTCATCTTTCTCAAGGATTTTCCATTTTTTCCTTTGTGATTGTGTCTTTCCCTTATGGAAAGACGTCCTTGTCCCATCATATCTCCTTCCCAATCTCTGTGGGTGAAGCTAGAGGGCACACAGAAGTTAGCTTCTGTATTTTATTATCTCATTCCCTCATCTCTTCTTCTCACTCTAATTCTCTATATTTTTGCAGGCTGGAAAAAGACTTGTACAATATAGTAAAAGAGGAGTTGGAGGAATTACAGGAGAAGGGATCCTTCCTAAGAATCATGTGTAAGTGGGATTTTAATGACCTTGAAGACAAATGGTGGTGGTGACTCAGGAGATGCCACTGCTTTTCCCTGGAAGATTCTTGGAGCACAAACACCAGCAGGTCCTGACCTATGTGTCGCTTAGATGCCACGTTCATGGGACAAATGAGCTGTTACCTCCATTGTTTTCCAGTTTTTTGTAGGCAGCATATTAAATACTGAATCTCCAGAATTCTAATACTATTGGGTTGTCGGAAAAGTCATGATGCATTTTTGAAACAAAAAAACATAAAAAATATGTCATGACTTTTCTGACAACCCAATATTTTTGGCTTGAAGAGCCTACATTGACTTTAAAGTTGGTGGGGTTCTTTTTTTTTTCTTTTGGTCTTTCTTGGTGTAATGTTTTTAATTCCTGGGTATGTTACAAAGATTCAATAAAGTGAAGGATATAAAAATGCCTTGAGGAAGCCTAAAACTTCATTTCCCATGGATTGAGAGGTGGTAATAGATGTGATTATAATGGCATAGTTGTTACACTGTGATTAAATAACCCAATGGACATCCAGAACCTCTTCTAATAGGAAAAATACACACAACTTTGGCTTTTGCTTTTACCTTTGAGTGACCTGTGGCTGTATTATATCTAAAATGTATTTTACCCACCTGAAAAATATCAAGGAGCATGGATTCCACATGGATCCCACACAGGATACAACGTGAACTCGCTATCATGCATGGGTATGTATGTAAATAATAGGAGTTCATTAAATTGTGATTTTTCTCTCCCTTGCCCTAACGCCAAGATTATGCTATCTGGAGCAGTCTTAAGGCACAGTTGGATATTCATTTTATTTTGCATTTCATAGCTGATAAAACATCTTCATGGTGTGTCTCAACCTTCATCAGGGCTCCCCCTGTAAATAGGGAACTCCCTACTTTCCTGATTTAAAAACAGATACTGAGAGAAAAATGCTTTGCAACAGATCAGAGAAATGGTAGGGAAAATAATTGGCCTTTGAATGCAACTCATTTGTTAAGAGCTAACATGTCTTACAAGACCGAGTGGGGTCTTCTGATATGTTGAATGCTATGTTCCTTCTATCCACCCATGTGTTAGCATTTTAAAACATATGTGAAGCCCATGATCCTTGGGATAAATATCTCATTCCCTTCCTTCTTCTGCATCTCCACTGTTCATTGTAGGTACAAGCTGGGATGGAGTGAGAGTGGGGACAGGTATATGAACTAATTTAGAAAACTGTGCCAAGGCAGACACCTTTAAAAAGTCAAAGCTTTAGATCTGTTGTAATCACCATATCATCAATTCATCACACTAGGTCACTAGTTTTTAAAATGGGGTCATATGACAAGCCATGCATTTGTTGACTATCCAAAAGTTCTTCATTGTTTCTTTGAAAAACAACACAGGAGTATTTTTCTGTGAGCACTGGATCCACAAGTTCTTGATAACTGTTTTAATCATGTTTTAGGAACTTTCCATTATTCTAGAATTCCTGACTTTGTCCTGGATTCACTTCAGTTACATCAGTGTACTTCAAAACAACATTTTAAAGATACTTAAAGGTGATTTCAAAGCCACTTCACAGTAATGCCAAATTGACTTGGTAGGGCTTGGGGGTTAATACTAGATGCACCCCACCTGAAACGGGAATGCATGGGAGTTCAAAGCTGGTTTGATTGGGAGTTCTGGTCAAGATGGTGAAGTAGATAAACACTGTGCTTACCTTCTCTCATGACCACATCAAAATTACAAATAAACTACAGAACAACCATCATTGAGAATCACCTGAAATCTTGTTGAACTAAGTCCCTACAACTGCAGAAATGCAGAAGAAGCCACCTTGAGACTGGTAGGAGAGGCAGAGATGCAGAAAGGGCTGGTTTCACACCTGCGTGTGACCATTAAAAATTGGGAGGGATATCTCGACTGTGGAGGTCCCCCACAGAGGAGTGAGGGGTCCCAGCCCAGGATTCCAATGCTGGGGAGAGAATTTCCCATAACTTCTGGTTGTGAAAACCAGCAGAGATTGTGGCTGAGTGAGGCAGATGGTGGCTGGAGTCCCAGGTGCTCCTCTTAAACCATGCACAGACTTACTGACAGAATCACTGGCTCTGAGCTCCAGAGCTGTGGCAGTAGCTGAAAAGGTGGCAGGGATGTATGGTAGGGAACTGAATTGCCTGGCTTCAGGATGGGGGCTGGAGGGGCAGCTTTCACCCAGATGGAGGAGCTGTCAAAAACCATTGTTTCTTTGTTGAGCCCTGACCCCTTCCCAGAGCAGACACAGGTGGCTGCCATATCTGAATGTCCATCAAGCTGGCTGACACCATTCATTTGCCATGCCTTGGTGGTTTTGAGACCCCACCCCATCCAATTTGCTGGCACACCCAAGCCATTTCAAGTGGCTTTTTCATACAAATCACTTGCCTTGGTTCATGCTGCAGACTTTCCTACATTCCTTCAAAGGTTCATGGAACCCAGACAAGCAGCATCTGGCTTGAGTGTGTCCCATACCTCTGGCTGAGCAGCCCTAAGCTCAGCACTAGTGACAGCCAGCCCTGGTTCATGGCTAAGCCTCTTGAGGCACTTCCAAGCACAGTGCAGTTAGCAGCCATCTGCATTTTTCTTTGTGGCTCCTCCCAGGTGGCCCCAGGTGGGGCATGGGCTGTGGCTGAACTTGACCCACAGCAGATCCCCTCCCAGGTGGCCCTGGGGCTGGTGCACCCAGTGGCCAACTTTGAAATGAGCTGAAACAACATCCAGTTCTCCCCAATAATGACACACCTAAGGGGAGGATTGGGTAAGAACCAGAGCCCTACTGAGGCAAATTCTGCTCTGTAGGGTCAGCTCCTGCACAACAACTCCTCCACTGTAGTCAAGGACAGTCCTCACAACCAGTGAGTCCAAGGGTCAGTCCCTCCCATTGATGTGAAAACAGTAACCAAGACTCAAGTACAACAGAAGGGCACACACAAGGGACACACCTGGAGTGCATGGCTCAGGTGACCAGAAAGACTGAGCCCCACAGCACACCTACTACATAAGGACACTACTAAAACCATGAGACACAGCAGCACTACCTAATGCATAGAAACAAACACAGAGAGGCAGCCAAAATGGGAAGACAAAGAAATGTCTCAAATAACAGAACAAAGCTCCAGAAAACGAACTAAACAAAATGGAGACAAGCAATCTACCAGATGCAGAGTTCCAAACATAGGATATAAGGATGCTCAGTGATCTCAGGGAGAACTTCAACAAAGAGAGAGGAAACATAAAAAAGAACCAGTCAGAAATAAAGAATACAATAATGGAAATAAAGAATACATTACAGGGAATAAACAGTGGATTAAATGAAGCAGAGGATCTAATCAGCAATTTAGAAGATAAGGTAGCAGAAAACACCCAAGCAGAACAGCAAAAAGAAAAAAGAATTTTAAAAAGTGCAAGTTTAAGGGGCCTCTGGGACAACATCAAGAGTACCAACATTCACATTATAGGGGTATCAGAAGAAGAGAGAGAGCAAGGAATTGAAAACCTATTTGAAGAAATAATG